GGAGGTCTTAGTTTCATTTCTGACATCAGGAGCCGTGAAATAGTGAATCGGAACTAAACTGCTTTGCTTGAGCAGTGCTGTACCTTTGGCTGCTGGTTGACAGCTGGCGCCATGCCTCCAGTGCAAAGCATGCAGGAGGGAAAATCCAAACATCTTCTATCCACCTTTCAGCAGCGTTAAGTTACAAGGACTTCCAAACTGTGTATCACTACAGCATAACAAAGAACAGTGAGGAAAACCATCGCCTGTACACTACCAGAGAAATGTCCCAGCTGTTAATTTAGAGTCCAAAGCTAAGTAAGTTTTACTAGAGTGAATTTATGACTGCTCATTATTTAACTTAGTCTAGGATCATAATTAAAGATGGTACTCTGAGGCGAATCCCCACTGATGGGAAACAGCATCATTTGAGACTCCAGCAAAGAGTAATCAGACACCTTTGGGGAAGTAATCAGGCATCTGTGAAAGAAAACTCTGATGTCAAGAGCCCCTCACATGGGATGCTTGTTTAGGTGTTGTAAAGCTTGCAGCACATTTAATGAGGCAGAAAGGTTAAAGGTTTTTTTCTCAGCATTAAAAAACATAAAGAGAAAGAAACAACATTTGATGGTCCTAATCAGCAGCAAAATAAAATGGGCAAATATTCTTGCACATGGGGTACATTCTGAAACAAGGAAATGAAACACCTTTTCCTCCTGAGATTCCACGCCTACACCTTTGCTGAAGCAGGTAATGTTTTGTAAATACATCTCTGCTTGATGGGACAACATGTGAAAGTAGTAAGGAACATGTAGACTCAGGCCCTTGAACCGGATGGACTTTTATGTAAGAATTCTGTCTATTTATCCCTGAAGAGCAATGTACGTTGTTAAACTGATAAATAATTAGCAATCCCTCTAGCATAGCTGCTTGAGAGCAGCCCACAAAAAGGCAGGAGCACGATATGTGATGTAACAGAGCACCACAGTCCTGAGCCACAGAGGACAGGCCAGAGAAGAAAGGAGGCAATTTTAAGAGAGATGGTCATGTGCAAAAAAATCAAACACTGCCACTGTCACTGATAGAGTATCTGATGAGTATTTTACAAATACCTTCCCGGTTTAACATGTCTGAACAGAGAACCTCCAACTTTTCAAAACTTTATACAAATCAGTACTGAAATACTGGTGAGCCCTCTTGTTAAATTTTACAGGCCTGATGAGCTGCATGATTTAACAGCATGATCCACTCTATATCTTGAATCTCTGAAAGTTTCATCTTCTTAAAAAACATTGTTGTATGATGGTTTACTATCAGTCCACCAGTTGCCATAATCACATAGCTGAACAGTATTTATCCTGAATGGTCTATTTCAGAAATAAGATATTTAAAGATGATCTGTATGGTCTCTTGAAACAGCTCCAGGGTCAACTTAAGAATTAAGCTCAGCTCATGGGCTCTGATTCAGCAAAGGTCTTATGCATATGCTTTTATTCCAGGCATACAAGCAGTCCTCAAGAGAAATGTTTTAAATCAGCTTTTGCCAACAGGAGGAAGGAATGAGATAATGGAACCAAAGAAAATTCCTCTCCTAACACAAAAGGAAAACTGGAGTTTTTACTCCCAAGTGAAAAATTAGCCCTCTACACTGCTTCAAATTAGCTAAAATATTTTCACCATCTTGTACTTGGATGATTGAAAACACCGCCTCTCCCTTCATTGCGTCTTTAAAATTAAGAAAGAGGAGGGAGGGTAAGTGCAAAACAAAAGGCTGGTAAGATTCATACTGGCTAACAAACTGGATCTAAACGCACTGACAGTTTTGGTTGACCTAAAATAGCCTTTCCCAGAAGACATTTTATTTACCAAATGCCACCACTTACAGGGCTTTGCTAAGGAAATACTCAGAGGACTGGCATAAAGTGAGAAATAGATTTCCTCCAGCGTATCTGCAGGTTATGCTACTGGTCATAGTTCTGTGACCTGAGATAGCTTTGATAGCTGGGAGAAAAGACATTCCTGTTTGATGCCAAACTGTTCAGGATAGCACGTTTGTCAGTGGACAACTGCAGAGCTGCACTGCTTTGTGCTGATCTGAAATTCCCTATTCACCGGGGAATTCTGAAAATTATTCTCAACATTATGCAAATTGTTCTGGGCACATTTTCCTCCAAAATAAAAAAGGCTTACGTAACGAATGCTACGCTGTTTTCTAGATTAGCAATACTGCCCACAGACTTAATAGAGTGTGACAGAGGAAACAAATTGTAAAAATTCACACCGACAAACAAAGCCAAACTTCCCCTCCAGAGCTGAAGACCATCACAAACCATATCACCTTGCAGCAAGTAAAAGACACATTTTCGTGACCTTGCCTTTTCCTACAACACACAAATCTAAGCACGGGAAGGGTAGACAAGAGCCAACATGTGACAGCCATTGGTCACATTGCGTAATGCAATGTGGAAAGCACTGAGATGCAACCATGAGGTGTGCAGAACAGTCTGCACAAAATAAATTTGTTATGCTAACCCTACACTCTTATATTTGTATGCTGGACCGTCTGGCTGAGAAGCACTCCGTGCACTCGGCTTCTCAGTACTTTTGCATGAATGACACTATATAAAGAGGTACTGTATTTACTAGCTGAATAAACAATAGGTTTTGCTTTCACTCAAGTATTATGACTTCAACTCATTTTATTTATATGTCAGTAGTTCAGAATGTGCAGTGGACCAGGCACATCATCACTGTTCACCTTTGTCAAAGAAGGGGCCAGAAACATCCACGTCGTTATATCTCTGGAACAGCTATAACTCATCCCTGTAACCTTTGGAGGATAAGCTACAATCCATTTTGTGTTAGCAACACTACAGCAACCTATTTATTTTTAAGTTCAGTAAAAAAATGCACCTATTCTCACTGTCCCCTGGTGTGCACACAACCCAAAAAGTGACAAGTTGACAGAGCTGCTACAAAAAGACTGGCTGCCCAGCGATTAGCCTCCTATAGCAACTGCTCAAGGGAAAAAAAAAATTACCAACTCTAGTATCATCCCTGCCATTAGATGGCACACTGAATGTCGTCAGAGCACAGGAAATGCATGTACCTCACACGAGGGTCTCTTTTGAGCATGTCATAAGCTCAAATTCCCAGGCAGGCATGAGTACAGAGCATTACAGTACCTGGATATGATGGGAGAAGACCCAGAGAGAACCTGCTCAGGAAACCAGTTCCCCAGCATGTAAGATGTCAAGCTCCCAGGCATCGAGCTATCTAAACGTGGACTAACAGTTGTGCAGCTCCCTTGCTCCTGCAGACTGGCTCACATCATGTTAACTAAGCCATGTGTGCACTTGGTTGAATCTGGGCCTCAAAGTTCTTAAAGATCCAAGTCAATGTGAATCTTTCCAGTTATTCAAGTGGTCCTTCGGTATCCACACTTCCAACTTCAAGATCAGCCCATTAACTACAGACCTTAGCATCTGTAATACTCTGTCAATATTGTGGGTTTCAGCTATTTACTATGGGGGTAAAAATCACCCAAAGCATTTTTATAATCTTAAAAACCATCCAGTGAGGCAAAGAATATGCAGGCATGTGGCCAAAGCAGTAAAATCTTCTTGAATATTATACCACATGTACCAGAGGTACCTTGGCTGCACTCAAAATAAAAACTAGTCAGTTTTGTCACTTTCAACATAATGTAACCTATTAAGTTTCATCACTGTTCTGGGTAAGCAATGTGTATACAGGATGTAACCGAAGAAATAAATATTGACACATGTTGCTGCTAAAACACTGATTGAAAACTGCAGGCCAGACCATCAGAGCGTAGCAGGGCTTCTTCACTCCCAAGATCTCCTTCTCACTTCTGACATAAATTCTCTGTCCCAAGGCTGCCTTTAATGTACATGAGGTTTGTGTACGTCTATATTATATATATATAAAAATAAGTATGTTCACAGAATAATGAGCCCTGAGAAATACACTCCTCCAGCACTCTCTTGGGAAGGCGAGGTTGCTGAACGCAGCTGTTTTCATGACTCACGTCCTCTAAAAACCACCCTCTCTGTGCCTGGCCAGGTGAAAATGCCAGGTACGAAAGGGAAGCTTGTAAATCTGCTTATCTGTTTCCTTCTGGCAAACTGCCCCTCTCTTCTTTACCTCTACCCAGAACTGGTTAAGCACCAAGCACTTCTCGAGACTGAAGACTGGGAAGTACATGTCATTCCTCCTACCTATAAATAACACTATTCAATAAAATAAAAGCAAATAAAGGTAGTAAATGATATTTATTTCTAGTCTTATTTTATGCAGTACACATTTCTCTCAGAATTTTTGATGTGCTTCTCTAGCCAGGGCTCTCTGTGCCAATGCAACGACTGCAACCTCCCTCCCACCCCCGCTCCATCCAGCTCATTATCCAGTGTCTGACAGAAGCAAGCGCCAGCTGCTCTACAAAAAGGCACATGAAACACTTCAGCAAGACATCAGAAAATTGCCTGCCTATAAGGAAGAGGGTTTTTTCCCTTGTCACCGTTACCAACAGATTGGTACAACTGTTGAATTGAAAGTCGACGGTTGTTCAAAAGTCTTGTTACAGTAAAAATGAAACCCACAACCACATCTGGATACTCTCTTGCCATTCAAACACCCAATGAGTCAGTGCTAATGGGGCCGAAATCTTACCTCTGACCTTGTCCCTTCATGTTTCCCTTTTGTCAAGCATCTCTAAGGCCCTACAGCCAGTCAGCAGAAATAGGGACATCATCAACTACAGACTCACATATTCTGGGTCTTTATTGCCATGGCACATTGTGACAGCGCGTTTCACAGGTAATTGCAGGCACCCACAGGATTAGTTAATTTATCGACACATACCAACAAAGAATGCCTCCATAACCCGCATTGTTTCTTTGGTAGGTCACAGCTATCCTCAACAACATTTGATGACAAAGTAGACCAAAAAAAAACCCTCCTATTTTTAGGCAAGCGTCAAACGCGTAAGTGTAATCTACCTTTGGAAGCTTCTGTGCCGAGTGGATTTTCCAAGATGTCTGTCATATCTTGGCTCCAAGCATCCTTCACGGCAGACTTAGACACCTTCCTGTTGTTCAGGTTTTGCTGGGGTCGGAAGTTATTCCTCAGGTACTCCACGGACTTGACATGGTCTTGCTGTTCGGTGGTGAATATGGAGTAGAACGCCTCCAGCTGAAGGCAGCCATCATGTCAGGGGAGATAAAGGACATTAATTAGAAAAACAATATGGTGAAATCTGGGTAGCTGATAAGAAAGTAAAATGGCAGGAAGTAAAATATTGATGTCAAGACTGATAAACCACACGGGAAGTCAGGCTGGCCACTGAAATCACTGCCAACTGCCTTATCTTGGCACAGTGCTTATCCTGCCCAACAAGGGAAAAGGCCTTCTAGCAACCTGTGGACATCTGTCATGGGCAAGGAAACATTCGCCCTTAGATCCATTGTCTGAAAGGATTTTGTGTGTGACACAGCCATGCCAAACCCTCCTCGCTGCTGGCACCGTTTTGTTTTGCAGTATCACATCAAAAAGTGCTTCCAGGTCATTCCACCCAAAGAGCCTTCTCCAGGACAGGGCAATGCCACCTTATCTCTGAATACCTTATGAAGTTTAGCTGCCAGGCTAAGCTTCACAGACAGCTCTTGCAGCCTTTTCACAGGAAGATCACTGCAGTGGTCACACTTTTATGGGATGGACGCCCAAACGCATGAGCTGACTTGCCCAGGAGCAGGCCAGTAGCAGAATGAAGCAACCTCAGGACTACCAGCTCCAAGTGCCCTGACTTCCTTATCAACCACTGTTCCCTCTGATACCTTACTACAAGGTGAGGAAAAAAATAACACAGAATAAATACATTTAGGCACAGACACATTAGCATATACTCCTCTGGGAATAAGTTTCTTCTGTTGGATTCAGATCTGAGCCATTTTTAATAAAATGTATTAACCTGTAAGAAAGAACTGTAATTGGAAAACTTTTCTGTTACTTCGTATCTTAGTATTTCTTAGAAAGAAATTTCTAGCAAACTAAGGTGAAAATATTTTCAGCTAATGTTTTTCTCACAGCTATCGAGGTCAGTATATTTACCAATAGCTTGTTATCATTCAGGTTAAGAACTAGAATTAGTTACTTTGCTGCTGGAAAGACTGAGCAGGATAGAGCTGAGAAGGATTCAGTCCTGATATTTTTTACATTAACATCAATTACATATATTGATAGCATAGATTTTGGGAGTACTGAACCTGACCCAAGACTTTAAAAAGGGACTTGAATTACACTCATAGCTTAGGGACAGGTCACTTTGAACGCCACACCCTTTTCATTAAGTGCATCTGCTCTAAAAGCTATGCAGAAGTGTGTGAGAGTCCTGGAACTTGCAACTGTGAAAAATTCAGTTGATAGTGCTGATAAAAATAACCAAAGGAGGGTGTAACAGAGCAGTTAAGCAACCTCCACTGAATCAACAGGTACTCACTCCATTACTTAATTTCCCTTCAAACCAATAACCCGAACCCCCTTTTGCTGCTGCTCTCCAGCTTGCCCAGTCTGCTGAAATCTGTAAAGCTTCTCTGACCCCCATGGCAGGAAAGAGTCAGTTTTTACACGTTTCATTTCAAAACTGAGTCCCCTTGAAGCAGGTGGTGCGTTGAGCTGGCTTCCTACATGTACAGGAGCGTTATCACTGGGAGCAGCGCATGGACAGCGGGAGGGAGAAAGGATGGACCTCACAGCTCTAATCCCGAGTCTGGCAGTTCTGCACTAAAACACGAAAACAAGGGACCGGAGTCCCGCCATAGGCAATCACCTCTGAGATAACAGCACAACTCAGGCTTGTACATTCGTAGCAGTACCTTCCCCTAATCACAACTACTTTTACTGCACAAACAGGGAAACTGAGACAGAGGGATGGCAGGTGACCAGCAGGGAGGGGTGACAGCCAGTGACCAGTTCCCATCGCAGGCAGGGAACTCAGGTACTGCTTCCAGCCTTGAAGGTAATGATGGTGGGATTCGGACTGTACTTTTTCTGCATCTCAGATGAATAGTTCTTAACTGCAATTCTCTCTCTGTTTCTTCAGAGAAAAATCTTGAAAACTGTTTCCTAATTAGCAGGAGCCCCTCAGAAGCACCGACGGATGGGTTAAAAAAGGGGTAAAAGGACTATTATCTTAAGAAAAAAACCCAACAGATGATCCTGCTAATGCCCTTCTGTGAAAGCAGACTAAAACTCTTCTGAATATTTACATACCTTCTGCACTTTATGCACTGGAAGCAGTTTTGATGAAGCCAGCTAACAGGGCTTAAGGTTACTTTATAAAAGCTCGAGAACTTGGGTAGCAACCGCTTCTCTGAAGTCAAGTCTCTAGGCTTACACGTCCATGACATTAATTGAATTTTTAAACTTTCAGAGAGAACTTTTAAAATATTTTCTTCTGCCAAGCTACCTTGGGGAGGTATAATTGCATTTTAACAACTGCCAATTCAAATATGATTTTTAACCTTCCCCTTTTTATGTGTTGAAGTATATATAAGTAATTTCAACTTCATTTTTCCTATAAAAATATTATCTAACACAAATGAGAAATTAATTTATCTATAGCTGCCAGAAAAAAAAAAAAAATTATAAGAGCTGCAGTCAAGGAGCTACATTCATGCTCTTAAGGAGCACAAGAGCTCCTGTTCAGAAGAAGAAATGAAAAGCTGTTGTAAGACTGTTATAGATACAGGGAAATGTGATCTAAAACGCCGAGTCATGTAATTACAAACCATTAAAGCCTGATATGCTCAGTTTTGTAAGGGCTGGATATACAAATGGCAATTAAAAATACTGAAACCGTTGTAAGCACAATGAGATACTCTGAGGTATGCATTATGAGAGATAATGCCATGCTTTGGGTCATTGAATGCACTTAGCTTTACAATGCATCTGCAGGGTGACACAGCTTGTCCTGTTTTGTTGTCTAATTATCAGGGAAGATGACGATGACAGAGCACTGAGAATAAAACAGAGAAGTCTCCACAAATGGACCACTTCAGTACTGTCCTTTTTACAGCAAGGTATTTTGCACAAAAGCAAGGATTTAATTGGAACAGCAACAAAGCTTAAACAATATCACTTTCCTCCTCTGGGATTACAGGCTGCTTCACAGGGTTTGTGATAAAGAAGGTTAAACTATGGCAATGGATTATGTTGCACTGTTTCTGTTAGAGGAACAAATAATAATCATAGCAATGGCAGGGTGGCAGGCTCTTAAAATACACCCATCTAGAGCTGCCAAGGGGAAGAATACTATTATTTATTCCACATGTGTTGTGGTATCAATGAAAGTCTGTCTACACACAGAATTCCCAGCCCTTCAACCAACCACACATGCGTGCATAAAGCAGCACAACGCCAAATTTTAACGGCTTCACTTGGCACAGTTACTATTGTGCAGCACAGGAAAGAAGCTATGCCAGGATAAAGTACCTTTATACCATTATAGTGATGGCCCTAATTGGTATTTACCAGTTTATTTGCATTTATTAAAAAAGAAAAAAGAAGTCATGACCCACCTGATGCGTACACAGGGTATAAAACTGAGCATGGGCCAGGCCTCACAGCCACCAAATAATAAACAGTAAACTTATTGATGTAGTGAAAAGCTACAAGGGATTGCAAGTATCCTGCGGGCAAGGACAGAATTCAAAATGATCTCGACAATCAGAGAAATAGCCTGAAAAAAACAAAGGGTCCGATTCAACCAGGACCATGTGCAAAGAGTCCCACGCTTCAGCCAGAACCGAGGGCTGCATGAACGCATGGTGTGCTTAGCACTGCTAGAGAGCGCTCTGGGGAAAGACTCTAGCAAAAGGGTTCCTGCTGACCAGGAGCTGAACTTTGGCAATAATGTCATGCTTTTGTGAAAAAGGCAAAATAACACCAGCACGGGTGGCTGGACACATGAACCTTGCCATGTCCCTCAGCCTCAGGAAGGCCCTGGCTGAAGCACTGCAACCTGTTTTGAACACGGCACTTCAAAAAAAGATGAAAGAGTCTTCAGGAGAAGCAATGGGATCCAGAAAATGTGAAAAAAAAACATGGAGCAGGGGCATGGCAATCACCTTCCACTCTTTTGAAATCTTTGAGAATGGGCATCTGTCAGTCAAATTCACCCAGTGAACTATTCACTTATGCTTTAGAGAATTAGTGCGTTTAAAAAGTTTGTTTTCAGTGGCTTATCCCAGATGAATAAAAGGAAAGACTAACTTCATCAGAATAGCTTTCTAGAGACAACCGTCTTACATTGTCAAAACACACTTAACTGGTAAACATCTGACTCCATCTAGCCATTACTTTATTGGGAGCATTCTTCTCCAGAAATCCCAGACTTCGTGTTTATTTGCATTAAAAGCTACTATGTGCTAATTTTAAAGATTTGTGCACCAGCTCTGTGAGCACATAATGGCAGCTTTACTGTGTTATAAAAACAGTTAAGCATGGAGAATTAATGGAAAGATGTCTTTTCTAATGTAATTAGTTCAAATTACTAAATCTGAGCAGAACTGAAATCACTCACTTTACTTTGAAAAGAAAGTTTCAATTAAAAGGAATAAAAAGGATCTCCATGTAAATATTTATACCATAGCTTAATTTAATCTTAACAAAAACAATACCAAATAAATCATTGAAAGGAAACCGGGTTTCATGTTGTACTGTCTTCTTAAGACTGATGGCTCATGTTCAGAAACAATATTACTTAAGAGAAAAAAGAAAATCACCGACACTTCCTTTCTTGTCAACAGAAACATTTTTGTTCTCAAAATTAAAACGGCAGGTTTTGAAAACACGGTCTTAAAGAGGCCAAATCAAGAGACGGACTTCACTAACAAAATAAGCACACCTGATGGTAGGAAATGGGAACGGGCTTCCGAAAAACGATCCACTCCACAATCTCACTACACGGAGGAGTAGTCAGAGAACCTGCGTAGCGGTAGTAACTCCCCAGCGATGTCGGCAGAAGGTCCCTGAGCACAAAGGGATCCAGAAAGGTCTCCTTCTCTGCGGGGAAGATTGACAAGCAGAATTACACTTTATTTTACGTGTCTTTAAAACAGACATCACATTGATAGGCAGCCTAACAAGGTGTAATGGCAACAACATATTTTATCATATATATATCATGAAAGATGAAAACATCCTATCAGGAAAGGCTCGGTAAGAGTTGATGTGTTGATTATTAAAAGAGCAGCCAAAACGCTAGTCAAGCCTATACTGAACATGCACACTCCTATTTTGAATGTGTGCAGGTGTGAAATGCCCTTGTTATCCCACCGGTTTACGTTAGCATAGAAGTAACACCATATTCAGTGGTTTCAGCACTCAGTAAATGGCTCTTCAGTCAGATGGCAGTGAGGGTTCACCAAGACCCAGCGGGGACACAGCCAGGCCCCAGTGGTCCTGCTTGCTGCTGCCTGACCAAAGAGCATCAGGTAGCGTATCCATCCCATCCCCACGGGAAAGGGATGCAGGAGTGGGTTCAACCCCTCTGCGGGTTGCTGAGACGGAGGAGGCAGAGCCATGCTGCTCAGCCAAACTTCCCTGGGAGCTGCCAGGGGGATGAGACGAGGAGCAGGGCTGCAGGGCAGCAGGACGCCTCTGAAGCTCAATGTGGTGCTTGAAGCAGTGTCCAGCCAGTGCTCGTTTGGGACTGCTTGCACCCAGACACACAGGCATTGCTAGATGCAGTCAGCACAACACCAGAAATATGTTTCAGAGGTAAAACCACTGCCTCTTCCCCCTAATCCAAGAAACTCCTTCCCAGGGACAAACTTTTTCCTTTGGGAAGCAACTTGGACAACCTGAAATACAAACCTAAGTGCCAAAAGCATTTAGCTTCAAGTAACAGTGACAAGCTGGTAATATTTAACACTGTGAAGAAAAATAAATAAATGAAAGAAGGGAACAGCTGCAGGCAAGACAATCTCCCTGCCATCCCTGAGCATTTATCCTCTGCGATTTATGTTGACTCACAGGCCCCTCTCAGCCTGTGCAAAGGTGTTCACTGCCTCAGGGTATGCTGACACGTGAGGCTCTCCCATATATCTCTATTCTTCACTTTCTACATTCTTCATGCCTCAAACAAGAGTCCACATTTGGGTAGCAGGAACTCTTTTCTCTGTCTCATCAGAGCTTCTAAGCAAACCCACTCCCCCCGCAGCAGAGCGGAGAAGCAGGTAGGCTGGTGATTGACATGTACATCTTCCAAAGTCAGAAGGAAAAGGAAAAGGATGAAGTCTGCAGAATTCACTTCCACAGCATCCCACCATTTTCTAGAAGTCTTGATCAAATCAGGAGTTGCCTATACCTCTGAGCAGCAGTCTGATAATCAGGGGGATTTTCTTCCTCTGCTGCTGCTGCAAGGTGTAAATACATGATGCACTTCAGACATCTTCTGTTCTTCTGCACAATATCAACAAGTGTGCAACGTTTTGATAGCCTTTAGCATTCCAAAATACAAGTAATTCTATTAAAGTCAAAGTACGCATTGTGTCAGAATACCGTGATCTCTTCATTAACAATTTCTTTCCTTCTAATCCAAGCAGATATCAACCACTTCTGAAACTCCAAAAAGGAAAAAAATGAATTTTTTCCTCTTCATAGCATACTTCTGTGAAAAAGGTGTGCTTACATAATAAACAGTAAAATACATATGATTGGCCAAAGTTCAAAGAGATCCTAATCAAGAAGTCATAATCACAGCAAAAGGTCGTATTTAATTTGATTGGCTTATTTTTATGCAGGAAAAATTGGTTAGAAAAACTGCAAACTCAGTCACAGGATTTGATTTCCAAATGCAGGGCACACATCTTCACAGCAGGACGACATGGGTTTTCTATTGAAGAAACGGCCTCTCTCTATGTGGAAGCTGAGCACACACTGGACCGCTACGAACCTGAAAGAGTATTTGAACTCGCAAACATCCTCTTTGCACTACCAGCCAATGCCGAGATATGAAATAGATGGGAGGTAGAGGCACATTTTGAAAAGAGCTTTGCTCTTGTATTTAAGAAAAAAATGTTTCAGTTAAAATTAGAAATGTAACTATTTTTAACTTTCATGGCCTTTTATTTAGAATGATGGAATCACTTAAGATGCTGGATAAGCATTCTGTGAGAAACCAAGAATATGGAATATCCCTTTATCAAAGGATGGCAGGAGAACGAAGCTCATTTTACACTTTCAAGGATTTTTGTGCCATATGCTGACAATATTATATTTTAATAATTAATTGTTCATCAAAGGAAAAGATGAAGAACAGGGATGCTAAATTCAAAGTTATTCAAATTGCAAAAATGAATAATGCATGACTTTTATATTAAATACACACTGTATTAAGTAGTCTACATTTCATCCAACTCTGTCTTTCATTTTTAAACATTTTGAACTACAATATGAATAATCAACCAAGGGAAGCTTATTTAGACAGAGAAATACCTTATTTGAATGCAAACTGGAAGTATCCGGCTATGATTAAATTTTGGTTATCAATTAGGGAGGGTTTTTTCCTAAGCATTTGGATAGTCACAGTCAGCTGTGAAAAAGAATACTTCTTAAGGAAAAAGTAGCTTTGCTAGTACACAATTTAAGTAGGGCAGGGTGTACTCGATCTAATTTTTCATGGCTACAAGCAACACTGTACATTTTCATTAATGAATACCAAAGATTAAAATTAAAAAAAAATATAATTGGATTAAAATGACTACTAAAATAGATGATAATCAATTGATTATGCTTTAATAACCTAACACTTTTGAAAACAGAGCATTCATTTGTATCACTTCCATAGATGTATGGTGCAGAGTTTTAGAAACCAGAGTCACAAACAGATCTTCATGTGAAACTTAAAGGGAAATTCAGGAGTCTACCTCCCATATCCTCCAAGAGCATAATAAATAGTAAACGCCATGAAGTTATGTTCGTAAGAGCTTGAGAAGTTTTTGAAAATGGGATTTTGAAGTCATGTCACTTTTAAAATTTCAACCTTAGGTCAGTTATTCTTGTTGGTAAAACCTTAAGGAGAATAACTTGCAAGGTAAGCAACAGCATTCAGTGAATTTGGTAGAAATATTTTATATACATACACATACACTTGTATGTGTATATATGTAATTCCTACCAAATGGGAAAGAACAAGGTTGGAAATAATATCAAACCCTTCTTCACTGCCTTTTATGACCAGCTCCTATTTCCCATTTTCAGTGCTTGAGATGGGCACAAATTGTGCCCAGAAGGCTGGGAACGAACTGAGCAGGGTGAGGAGTTTCTAAGAGGGAGAAAGTGGACAAGGCTGGGAACTACACGATCTACTAGGTACTAGGAAATAACTGGAAGACAAAAGCAATAAAATACTCCAATGAAAACATGTGTTCACCTGCAAATACCTGTGAACCACTGCAATCAATGCTGCAAAACCGATCCACTAGCCACCTACTCCTTCTTACGCATAAACCAGAGCCCCACACCGAAGCTGTCTCTCCTGCTGCTCCTTGTCCTACTCCAATTTCAGCACCTGAACCCAGATGGGCACCCAAGTAGAAAAAAAAACCACCAGGATAATCAGAGCCCCTATGCCAGGCCCTCGAACTAGAGACCACTCCTCTGGGAAAGCAACACTAAACATGCTGCTGCAGCCACCACCCCAGGCAATGCAGAAAAGGGCAGCACCTGAAACAGCCACTGAGATGCCCACTAATGCAGTTCAGCCAATTTTATCGACAGTTAACAAACAGCAATACCTTGTCTACAGCACTGAGGCTCGTAAAAAAGTGTTCACTCCAGTATTTCCAAAGGAAAAATTAGCAAGTACCACAGATTCATTGTTGACAATTAAGACAACGAATGTGACATTTAAACTACTACGTGTTCCACAGCATAAAAGGACAAAATTGTATTTTAACTTTTACATTCACAAAAACCAATTAACAGAGCCAGCTGGTAACACATTGGTCCTTCTCCCACAACAGCAATGTGAAAAGTCACACCCAGTATACTCTTTGTTTGGGCTGGTAAACCTCCCCGCTGTTTTGCATGGGACCAAGGGCTATTTTCTGTACAACCCAACCCAAAGGCAGAGCAATTGTAGGCATGCTTTAAAAACGTGACCTATTTACACCCTTTATTTGTCAAGGCATCACTACTAGATGTGAACTAACACTGAATTGTGCAGAATAGTTTTCCAAGCGGTGGAAAAAAATCAGATCTTAAACAAGATACCAGTAGCAGATCTGCACCAACTACTGCAGTTTTCACAAGCTGGTGCCAACAAATACTATATTGCAAGAGCCATCAGTTGAACATTTTGAGTTCAAGGACTGACTTGCTAAAAATATATTCTGTAAAATGCTGGATATTTTAACAAAATCACTGTAGAGTAAGAGGCTTCTTGAGATATGCAGGTAAACAGCACACAACTATCTGTGATCAAAACCCTTTTAAAATCTAACAGGAACTTGGATTGGAGATCACAAGAAAATAACTATATGCCAAGTCCATTTACATCTCATAGAATGCTTTGGGACTTTCATCACGCTTTTCTGTAAGAAAACAGGAACTTGGCTGCATTGAAAACAATATCTTAAAATGAGCTTATTTCCAAAATTAACGCATGTGCAATGCCTGATAGGTGGAAACGTTACCCAGCTACACTTTGAATAACTGAAATCTGCAACACCAATATGAAGAGCTTTGAAAGTCTCCCAAATTTGTTAAACAATGTTACTGCCAATTTCATTTTCACAATGAGCCAAGTCATTCTAAAGCTTTTGCATTCAAACATTTAAAAAGCAAACACACAGAAATAACCAAAAGGACACCGTGCTACACACCCACTGAGCCAGAACTCCCCAGATAAAGCAGGCTGCACACCAGAGCCAGGGACAGTGGCGATTTTAAAGATGAGATTACAAATACATGTTACTTTAACTGAAAAGATCAGCAGTTGAGTACTTGCTGTGTAAATCCAGCACGAAGAGCAGTTTCTGACAGTCCTCTGTACTCAG